GACTGCAAAATATTTAAATGCATTTGAATTTTTTTCTATCTTTGTAAAATATTCAATTCAAACATATCAATACTGTAGCTTTGTCTGATGATGAGTACATTAGTACAATTCATAACTCTAAATAATGCCCAGTTATTTTAAATCTATTGAAATTTCTTATTTCACTTTGACAATAATTCAAATAAATGGTTGTGAAAAATATTATCCAAATCTTCTATGGATGAAATTTAATTCTGTAAAAATTGTAGTAAGGAGAATTCCAAAAATTCCTATCAAACAGATTTAAAAAATATATTCCCAACTGACATAACTCCCCACTCCAAATTAGCAGCCGCGATGCTAAAAAACCCTAACATTTTATTAAAACTGTGTCGCCAGGAGTCTAAACGTTTACATGGAGACCTAAATGCTTCTTTCAAGCTTAAACTGCAACAATCTCCACAGTTGTCTAATAGGTGCCATACCCACACCACTTCCAACACCTGTTACTATGTACTGAAGCAATTAACATGTGCTGCAACTGATATTTCCGTCATTTTGGATCTCCGCACAACGGCACAGATCGTAAACTGTTTCACCCAGATAGGGCAAATGGGTACTCATATCATCCAGAATTGTATTTCCTCTCCGATGAACTGATTCCTAAAACCATCTGTTTTCAAAAAGGTTTTGCATGTTTTGTGATCTGAAACCCATCATTTTGTTCCGAGGGTCAAGACAGTTCCCAGCAGCTAATCCATGTTGCATGTTACAGAGGATACAGCGTAGGCGGTGGAATAAGAGACGAGAGATTTCTTCCTTAAATCTCCATGAATCCATCCCCTATCGCTTTCACAGAATTACATGTCAGAATGAAAAAGAATACTTAATATTCCTTGCTAAACTGATGAAAAAGATATTAAACTACATTTATCAGAGATAAATCTCGACAGATGAGTACACTACATGTATTTTTCATTGATTCACATGTTAAATGGATAATTAAGAGAGATAAACTATGATTTTGTGATTCATCACCCAACAGATTATAAAAAAAGCTCAATTAAAAAAATACATTAAGGTATAATTTCAAGCTTGGCAATAGTGCTGCATTAGTCGAACCGAATCAGTGTGGAACTATTTCCATGTCATGAATGGCGTAGTACTTGTATGATGTGAGAACTGTTCACAGCTGTGAGGGTGATACATGACACATGTAAGGCGGCAACACACGATACATCAGATCACCACAACCCATTGCTGACTTTCTCATTACATTTTTGCACTGTCACCTGCTACTCTCAGGCCGACTTGTGTTTTGAGATTTGGGGGTTCAACTTTCCACATCTGATGCACATGGAAAGAGCAATGGCTGATTCAAATCAAATCTAGGATTGGAATTTGAAAACACCCTACAATTGTGTTTGGCTAAAGAAAATTAAAAACAGCAGCCTTGTACAATGTCACATAGCATGAAAATACCATGACAGGCTTAAAAAGTTGCACCCAAAATAGCGTATTCAAACCCTTTGTTTTCAGAACACTTCAACCACTAACCTATCCTGCTATGGTTATACACCACTAGAAGCAATATTTAAGTAATAAAACCAATAATACCTGTATGTGGAATCAAACCTGGGTTTGGGACTTAACTCGCCAACATTTTAACCACTACCCTACTTTAACAACACATTTTCTTCTCTATTTTCAGGACTGTGTACAAACACAAGCCATACCTCCTCCATATCCTGAAACTTTTGCCTCTCAAGATCAGCGACTTGGACTAACAACATCAGGGTGTGCTTGATCAAACTTGTCTTGTATAATCCACAGAAACTTGCAATACTCTTTAACAGGTAGACAACGATAGGCGTGAAATTGCAGAGAGCAACAGTCAGCCTTTTTCTCAAGAAATTGTGTTCAAAGATAACAGACATGTAATCAAATTTCCCCCATCAGTCGTAATGCGGGGTCAAGAGAGCAGAAAGCAAATGAAGACTTGACTCTATAAATACAGACGTAATGTTATTTACCTTGTAAATTCAATTTAACGTTTCACTGAACAATTACCCTATGGTCGAGAAGGTGATAGGGGAGAAAAGAGTGTTAGAAGGAAAAGGAAGCCCTTTGCAAAAATACCCAGAAACAACAATGATACTGGGGGTAAAAGGCTGAAGGATGTTTTTCTGTTTTCCTACATTCTTCCACCAACTGGAAGAAGCCAAAACCTATCAGAAGATCTGCTCCAACGCAACGAGATCAGGATCCGATCATCACCATGTTGTGTGCTTCCAAAAAAAGACGAGAAAACTTCAAAGCAGACGTGTCTGTGAAATTGAACATTCTCGAATGGCAAGAAAACAGAGAGGGGTTTACTGCCGTGCTAAAGGGGAGGCGGAATGAGCAGATAGATGCCAATTAGTACAATTCCGCCATGTTTTGCCGACTTTGCTGACTACATGCTGTTACGGCTAGAACTTTGTACTACTGGCTAAATGTATGACTAAAACAGATAGGTGTTATTACGCGCTAATACCAGGATCTCGTGTAACTAGAAATGGCGGTGTATGTTGACTTGCAGCTCAAGCATGAGTTATCACATGTTGAGCCTGAATGATCAGTGTGTCCCAGCCCACTATATCTTGTCTATAGGGATTCCACTCTCTGTACGAGTCGGTGATTGCGTAAAACACGCTTGCGTTACTTCCTTTCTCATACTGATCGTTCTCTACTGATAACATCTAACTGCATGGGAAATGAAAAATCATCAAATAAAGTACGAGTCAATTATTAGCTTTTACAGAATACCTAAATGCACGTTTACCCATAGGAAAAAGTAAATCAATCTGGTGAATAGTTTGAAAATTTATGTAATTACATTTTTATGATCTTCAGATAAGAAAACAAGCAAGAATCATATGAATCAATAAATCAATAAAACATCCCTATTGTTATGTTTGTTTGAAAGAATCATTCAAAATGATAAGGTTTCAATAATACATTAGAGAGCACTTGAATAGCTGACAGCAAACAATGAGAAATCCTCTGCTAATGTCTGAATTCACTGTTCTTTATACTTACTTACCATAATGACAATTGGTGTTCACACCAACACGCAAGTGTCATTCAGGAATGATAGTAACAGTCCCGATCAGCTGTACTAAATCTCTAAGTTTTCGATAAGTCTATAAGATGATTCTGATTGTGTGTGAGTGAGTGAGTGAGTGAGTGAGTGAGTGAGTGAGTGAGTGAGTGAGTGAGTGAGTTTGGTTTAATGCTGCTTTTAACAGTATTTCAGTAATATCACAGCATGTCTGCTTGATGATGGCAAACATAGCCATGCCTTAGACGTTTTCAACTTTGGTGAAATCCATGTACACAGGTATGGTGCTGACAAACCTTAATCAGGGCAAAACCGGGATTTGAACCCACCACCACTGGTGGGACGTAACAACTGTATTCCAGACAACTGTGCCCCTGATTGCAACAGAGAAACTGCTTCTCCCTCAAATGGCCAACCTCCATAAGATTTTTCATCCATGATGCTACAATAAAAGATGACCCTCCCAAGACACACATCCCAATTCCTAATTCGGGGGCAGTTGTCTAAGGTGCTGCAATTCACTCAGCAGAGTTGTGCCCCTTGGACGAACCAGTTTGGCACAGTGATGTTTCTAGGTGTGTCAGCACCACACCCATGCTTGTAGGTTTCATCAAAGTGGTAAACATCTGAGACCTTCATCACGTCAGGCTTTCCTCCCACATAAGCTGACACCCATGATATACCTGTAATGCTTTTTAAAGTGGCAACTCATTAACTCACTCCTATTTCTGGGCAAGACTGTCACAATATCCATTTTTTGAGGACCTTAATCAAACTTGCAAAATGGCCAAATTATTTTTTCACTGAAAATCACACTTATCATTCAAATCACAATAACCAAATAAATACCTTTACTTCCACATAATGGTTTATTTATTTTAAGTGACATCCAGACTTTTCAACAGAAGAAAACGTAATGTCCACTGGAACGTTTATAGTTCAAATGCTGCTTTGAGACCCAGGGCCTATTCAACAAGCATTTAAGTGCAATGAATAATCTTATTATAAAAGTAATGTTCTAGTATAGAAGATAGCAGAGTCCTCATATTGCTTTGTGAAACAGGTCCCACAGAAACAAAATGTACATGTTTAATAACATGAAAACAATTGATTGTATCCATGTAATTATCCCAATGACATTTCCAAAAAGTGCAGTTTGAAGATACTATACTTGTGTTTTGAGAAAATCATGTATCACCACATCAATGAACAATGACAATAATAATCATGATAATAAGATAACAAAATTTGCTGCTGCCACTGGATAGCAAGCCTGAAATGAACAACCAATAAACAGTGATATCTAAAGCATGCAACAATATGGAAAGCAATATCTCAATGACAACACACTGGCACAGCAACACTCCACCATGGCAAGAACCATATAGTGTCACAAACGGCAATCAGAGAATGTTATTTACATCTAGAGACACACTTGTGAGACTATATTCAATTCATGTCATGATCAAGTACAGTTTCATCTAAACAAAATGAACATGATGATTGATGATCAAACTAAACAGAAAAACATGAAGTTAAGCCCTGTTTACAACTAATCCTTCACTGAAGGCGCATAACTCAGAAACTATTACAGGTGGCATCAGTGATAGAGTAATCTGATTTTGTCAAAAGGGTAGATAACTCTGTGAAAGGGGAGATAACCACATTATTATTTCTCAAAATGGAAGAATACTGAAAGGGGAGACCCCCACAGGATATTTTTTTGAAAAGGTAGATAACTCTGTGAGAGGGGAGATAACCACATGGAAAGGGCAGAAAATCCTCAATGTAACATGCAAGATTGTAATTTTAAGATAATAATGGATATAATAATTTCAGTATGGCATTAAAAATTTCATAACTTGTTGATATGAATGAGGATGATGATGAGATGTGAAGATCAGAATTCAAAATTTACCTGTCCGACTATTTTGCCGCATTGGTAGTCGGTTATCTTCATCTGATTCAGACATGTGCAATCTATGGCGGTATTGATTGGGCATATTAATATCCTCGGGTGGCTGGGCATATACAACAGTCCCAGGCCTGAGGCCCGGATGGTACACACTGCCCAATGGGAGAGTTGTGGGCGGGGCATGCTCAATTTCATCATCGGACCCACTCATGTAACTATAGGCGCGAGCATGTCCGACTGGGTTGCCTCCGAGCGGGGACACTGCATGCTCATTAGGCGTTAAACCTAGGTGCAAATGAAAATATCACTAGCTAGATGCACAACAGTTTATTTTACAAATTAGCAATTAAACACTGTTCAATATCTGGGATGAAAGACATCCTAGATGTCAATTTCGAATGAAATAAACATCTTTATTTAGCATTGACAACTTACAACATGAAGCAGTAAAAGCATATTTATACTACGCTGTAATCGCAGAATTTATCTACATGGAGTAAAAGGGATGAGCCCATTATACACATCATCAAAGAGGGTCTACAGGGGGTACCTTAAATATAGCTATCTTCCAAATAATGGATTGTCCATACTTGACTTACATATGTTGAGGTCATTTCAGAGCTAATTGCCAGCTGTGATGGGTGGAACTACAATCATCAGTAATCTGGTTCCAGCCCATTTTTTCAACTTTAATAATGGTTCAACATATTTTTTTCTACTTTAAAGTAACCCCTGCAAGGCCTCATTGCTCTACTGGCTGTCGTTGCATTGTTAGCAAAACATGCCAAGGAGTCACAAATTCTAATGACACCTGGCTTATTGCTGTAAAAATAAGGTTGTATTGTTATTTGTAGATTTAAGAAAGATTAATGAATATTTCATTCTAAATATGATAACAAATTTCAAATTACTAAACCAAAGCAACGGCATCCAGTTGACTGATCAGTTACATAGGCATGAGAGACGCTCCAGTAAAATAGAATAAAAGCAGGCTTAAAATAGAAACATTCAACACCTCAGAAACACGTACATGTAAATAATTTATGTTTGCAATGCAATAAGTTTCAATGACAACATACATGAAATGATTAAAAGCAATTATCAGCTGATTCAATCAAGCAAAGCAAATTAAACACAGGTGCAGTTTCAAGCAGGCAAGTAGGGTATACAAAAACGTGTGATACAAGGAGGAGAAGATACTGTGATAGTGGTTGTTAATAATTGACTGACAGGTAATTAAACATACAGCCCAGTTAGACACCTATCAATCTCAATCAGCTGATTGAAAGGTGGAGATATTGACACGTGAAGCATAAGAACATGATTAAAGCATGCAACATGTGGCTGGAACAAGTTCTCACACTGAGGAAAGTCATGTAGTCATAACAGCTGGGACTCCAATAAGAACATTCAAAATATCAACGTACAGAATGGTTCCTAGAAATTGGAATTTTGCAACCACTATGATGTGACAAAGAATCTGGGAAAGTTGACACATATTCATCCAAGTTGCACATTGTAACCACTTGATATAACTTGCAATAGCCTCTTATAATAATACAGGTGACCTTTCCTAGCATCCTTTCCCAAAACCTAGAACAAGTCATACCAAAAACATCACGTAAACAAACATGAGACCTGTAGCTTTGTGAAATAGTTCTGTGAAAAACGGAAGCAAGTACAACTATAGTCAGAAATAGAAACAGGCAGCAAAGAACTGTGCAATGTCTTGACTACATATCCAATAAAAGGGACCCTAATTGCTTCACCAAAGAACTTGCACATCTAGACAAACCATTTTCATCAAATCAGCCATTGTGTGAAACAATCTATTTCATGTGAGATGATCCTGAAGTCAAATGCTGAATAAATTAATCTTTATTAATATTTCCTCAAGCCACAGGATGAGACACAGATATAACCTTCTATTGAAATGAAAAAAAATAATTTTCATTATTTCACCGGACCACTAAAAGTAACACTCATATGATCCTCAAGTCAATCAGTCGCCCAATATAGCAATGTTGAGTGTTATATTTCATTGGACAATCTCCAATCATGGCCTGCGACATCTCCAATAAGCACTGGCATCAGCCACCTCTATCGAGCTGCTGCCCTTCCCTGGGTGTATACAGATCATGTTAACCAAGACATGACTAATACGGTCTCTGCGATTTGGGCACATCTTTCAGAAAGCGGGGTATGAAGTTCTACCTCTCGTTGGGCCAAATATCACTACAGATCACCAGAAATTATTTACCCGTGAGACTTTAAGTAATTTTCGTTGTCATTCAATTGATCTTCATGGGGATTGCTTTTATCACTGCAATCGGACAGTATGACCATCTGATATATTGCATTCCCTACGAAACACGATTATAACGACACACTGTACACGGATGATCCCCAAACACTAATGAAAACATTACGCAGACAAGGAATCGACTGACAAAGTGGCCTATGGTGGATTGGTTGAAAATTCACAGGGTGAGATTTGATCCGGACAGTCAAACACTGAAGCTTTCTTGATTGCAAAACACTTTCCTTAATTTAAACCTCATTGACAAGATAAACCATCAACAAATTTAATTCTTGAGGGATTTCCAACTCCACCCAATCTCTCAGCCCAAGCGACCCTGTTTCTTTTCACTAAAGGCACCGTAATACCCGTGATTAGCACAGTTCATGATAATGAATTAATTCAACAGTCTTTGTCTACTGCACACGTAATACCCTACAGCCACCCTTGGCTGTAATTCAATAATGAGGAGTCAAAAATATCGACACAGGATTTAGACCCACTCCAGCCTTTGTCAGTCACAGACAAGATGGCGACAGAAGCATCTCCAACTCCTTCAGCACCAAAGTTAGAATGGAGGATGTGTTGCCGGTACACACATCCAAACACCCCCAAACAAATGAGTACACCCAAACTTTCATAATGACTTGTGAATCCTCTGTCACTAAATGTGGGATTGGGAGCAAGGAAGGGATGAAGGGAGGTTGCGTTGGGGTTGTTGAGTGGTTCAAGCAATTGGTGGTCTCATTGTTTTGTTTTTTGTTGTTGTTGTATAAAGCCACACTCAGCAATATTCCACCTATATGGTGGCGGTCTGTAAATAATCAAATCTGGACCAGACAATCCAGTGACTGACATCATGACCATTGATCCACACAATTGGATGGAATACGCTGACATGCATCAACCAAGTCAGTGAGCCTGACCACCTGATCCCGTTAGTCACCTCTTACGACAAGCATAGTCGCCATTTACGGCAAGTATGGGTTGCTGAAGACCTATTCTACCCTGGATCTTCACAGGAAGCTAGTTACATTGAACACTGGTTTGACCAGGTCATGGACACCACTTGTTCAGCATATAATTGGTGTCCCTGCTGGGACAAGGAAAGAATACGACCAAAAACAGTCTCGAAAAATATCTCCCTCAAAGTAACATTTTAACCAAACCATGAGAACATTTCAAACAACTAACATACATAAGAAAAACAAAATTCATCATCCAAAAAAACAGGGCGGTGGGTTAGTCTAGTGGTTAAAGCATTTGCTCAGTTACCTCAAAGACCCAGGTTCGATTCCCCACATGGGTACAATGTGTAAAGCCAATATTTGGTGTCTCCTGCCACGATACTGCTGGAATATTGTTAAACACTGCATAAAACAGTTCTCACTCACTCATCCCCAAACCTTACCACATCTATAACTTAATACATCAAATGTCGCCAAGACTTACTCCAGTAAAAGATGACTCATAACAAAATACACAAATAACATTCTTTCATAAACACCAAACATCTATATCACCCAACGTACATCATTCAACCACCTTTGACAAAATTCTCAAGAATTTTTTGGACAGTTTTGACAAACAAACTTCATAATACACACTCAAATAAAATGTTAGTTTGTTCACGCCTCTTACCCCACATTGCTGCCTGAAGATTTCCTGCACAATATATTAAAAGTAAACAGCCCCTTTTATCAATCTGGCTCTTATAAAAGGTTATCTCAGCCCTTTTTATGCCTGCCTGTCATGTTGCTACTGACATTTTGCCTTAACAAGTACTCTCCTGGACCCTAATAAGTTGTTACAAGCCCTTAGGCTGGGCCCCTTAATTCAAGATTCTTATAAAAACTTGAGATATTGAAAGCCTTGAGGAATATGTCCCCTGTTATGTTCTCAAAGCAAACCTCAACAGCTTAAGCTGACAATGTATGTCCCCTAACCAGCCCTCATTAAGGCTTTCAGTCATTTTAGTTTAGTTACACAAACACTTTAACATAATTTTATTCTTGTGGTTTTCATTGTTTTTTTTATCTTTTGACATGCAACAAATGTGATGCTTGCAATTTCTGTAATTTTATTCTCTCTGACTTGTAATTATAATGAAAAAAAAAACCCGCTTTACTTTCCTTTCATAAAAATACATAAATGTAACAAATTTTTAAAGGACATTTAAAATGTGACATTAATGTTCAAACGTATTCGTGGTGATCCAAGCCATGGACATATTTATGTTCCAACATGTCTCACCACACCAGACATCTCGCCAAAAACATCCCCGTTTATATCCTTTTAAGATATTGAAAAACATATCTTTTTGCGGACACATTAAAAAACCCTATGTAAACTAATAATGACAGGATCTGGAATCTTTTATGGATGATGTAACACACATTTTTATCAAATTTCTACACAGGATGAACAATATTGTCATATTTTGAGGAAAGAACCCAACAAAAACAACTGGGAAAATCGAGCTCATCTTGAAGTAATCAGACTCTCAAAGATCTTTGAAGACAAGGTGCTGGTTACAAAACACTGCTCAAATCACTGGCATTCAAACAGTCACCTAACATGAAACCGGAAATTCTCTTTAGAGAGACATTGGCAGTACCATAATTTTCGAGACTACACTGAAACCCCTGCTAGGTTGTGCTAATAAGATCACCATAATCGTTGTTTAAAGACATTACTAGTTATGGGTTAAACCATTTGGTGAGGTTAGTTGTGAGGTTAACAGATTGTAGATCCTATGTTTATAGATATAACTAGTTGTGAGGTTAACAGATTGTAGATCCTATGTTTATAGATATAACTAGTTGTGAGGTTAACAGATTGTAGATCCTATGTTTTTAGATATAACTAGTTGTGAGGTAAACTGTTTGAAGATCCTATGTGTATAGATATAACTAGTTGTGAGGTTAACAGTTTGTAGATCTTATGTTTATAGATATAACTAGTTGTGAGGTAAACTGTTTGTAGA